AGTGAGGAGAACTCACCTCACATTGCTAAAGTCCCGCAGGCAAAACACTAGTTGTTGGATGATAGGTTCTCGAACTGTCAACATCAAACAATACCCAATTAATAATTGGGTTCCAAGCCCAAGGTCCAACTCACACTCCAAAGGCCTAAAATTCAAGTAATGGGCCAAAGCCCAACATATAACCCAATTTTACAAATTGAGCCCATACCTCTACATGGTCTTACCCTAAGGCCCAACTATTTAGTCCAGTCCAATGATTTGACATTCTAATGTTCCAAACTCTCATAATCCTCAAGGCCCAGTTATGGACCATCTATGCCCTAATTTTCCAAATTGGGCACAAACATTTCCAATGGGCCTTATCATTAAGCCCAATCTAAGTATTCTAGTCCATTTATGTGTTAATATATGGCCCATCAAGAATCTAGACATCTAGGCCCAACGAAAAGGCCAAACTCTAAACCCAACACATTTAGGGTTTTCACATAAAATGATGATTAGGGTTAAGTGTTTCTTACGTAACCAATTATTGACTTAATCCATTAAGTCCATCAATCTATTGGGTCAATCATGTGGTATGGTCGTCTTAATTCATAATCCCTATCCGGTCATTTAAAATGCGGGTCCCGACAATCCATAACCCATATATCCAAAATTAGGGTTTCCAACTCAATCACGACCCAATAGGACCAAAAGTTAAGTATTTAGATAAGTTAGGGTTTCATTAGTCCCACTAGGGTTTCATAAGTCGGGCACCACCCACTACCACCTCAGGTAGTGGTGGTCAACAGCGGCTCACGGTGGTGGTTATGGTTCTAGTCTATTTTTTTTCCAAGCATCCCAAACGAAATCTAAATCACAAAGCACACTTTCACTTAACATGGTGGTTGGTGGTGGCAGCCACCACCTCACGGTGGTGGTTATGAATTTTCTTTTTATTATTCCGACATCGATTACAACTTACAATGCAAAATCCCAAATAATATACTGTAACGTCCGTAGATCCGGGTTAGTCAATTTAGAGATAATAGGGGTCGAAAATGAATTTTTGACAAAAGGTTATTTAGAATAAATAATCTTAACCAGGTTGTAGAATACGTCTCAAGGGTTTCGTACATATAAAGAATGTTGAAATCCGAGTTATAACGAAGAAGTTATGGTCCGTCAAAGTTTTACGACAAAACTAGCACGACACCGGGAGACGTAAATAGTGAATTTACGATGGAGGAATTTTTAGCATTATTAATCTAAACAAAAGTCGTAACATATGTTAAACTGAGAGCATCCATAAAAATAACATCAAAATCTAACTTCGTATGAGGAAGTTATAAATTTTCTAACATTTGGCATAGCAGTGCACGACCCGAAACTTGAATTTTAGTTCGAGTGGTTTTTGGCCTACACGACCTAAATGAAAGTTGAAGATCTCATTAATAGGAACCCAGCGGTAAAAATACAGACAAAAACGGAGTCCATATGTAGAAGGTATGAATTTTACGCGAACAATTAACAATATAATCTCCTCGTATTGTTAAATTTAAGATCAGTTGAGAATTAGCCGACGGAGTCAAAATGAAAGTTGTAGATCTTATTTTTACCTACACATGGATATAAAGAACGTAAAAAACGGAAGTCGTATGTGAGAGTTACGGATTTCAGAAGTCGGAAGAGTGTTATGCGAAAATGGTTGATGTGGCACAATCTTGGTCATCGCTTTCTCACCAAGTCTTGCCACTAGATGATGACATGTGGCACCAAGTTCCGCCATTTTTCACCCTATAAATAGAACCTCTCTCACCCTCATTTAATTTACACATTTCTCATTTTTTCTTCTCTTTACTTTCTCTTTAGAACCTCTCTCTAGCCCCGAAACCCCCCGAAAAGCCTAGGGAACCTCCCTAGCACGAGACGGACGCCCTGGAGTGCTTGACGGCTCCGAGAAGAAGAGCTTTTCGGATCGGGAATGTTGCTCCAAGAAAAGCCTGGTTTTCTATAAAACCCGCTGTAAGTGAGCTACGCCTACGCTATTTTTAATATATCATTTATTTAATTATAGTAACGTTATTAGGAACTTATAATAAATACTTGGGTTATTATTATGGGTTATATAAGTATTGTTTAATGCTTACATAATAGTAATAATAGCTAGACTATTAATTAGTCTTATCGAATAATAGACTAAACTCTAGTAGTAATAATACTAGGTTTCGTCGAAAGATTTTTTTTTTTTTTATAAGAAACGAAGCGTTGCCTGATTTCGGATTCACCACCTTATCAAGTGAGTGCATAGTCAATTTCATCTTACACAGTGATATGAAGTATTTATTATATAATTTACGTGTTGTGTGTGCATATTGCCTGAATATTTGCTGTTTATGTTTGATGAAAGATTTTTATACATGTTTTAAAAGTTTAAATGTTCTTGATGATCCAGTCATCTAGCGGAGTATAGATGACGACCATAAACTATTCTAGACAGCCCAGTGGAACGCTAGCAGGCTCGCAACCTGTAGGTGTTTATTTGAACTATGTGCTCACCAGCAGTACTCCATCCGCCACGTGGTTGCCTTATTTGACATGAATTGCTAAGGAACTCCCGAAGCATGTGTTGTCACTCCGATAAAAGTCCTTAGACTAGGTCCCTTGTGTTAGATGTTTTAGGGACGTAAGGTGAGGATAACGGGAACGAGTAATTGGGTTTGTTTGGTTTGATAAAGTTAATAAACTTATTTATTGTGGGTTGAAAACCCTATGTAGTCACCAGGTTTTCCAACCTGGCCCACTCAGTTTATTTATATCACAGACGTTGATATGAAGTCACATTACACTGAGAGATTAAGGAGATATAAATCACTAGTGATAATGAATGTAAGTTATGTTTATGCTTATGTTTCTGTATTGACGATGACATCCCAAATGTTTTAAAATGAATAAAAATACTTTTCTTTGGAAATGTTTTGATAACGTATTTATCATGTTTTACTGTTAACAAATTCCGCAACATTTTTATTAAAAGAGGTACTCTGATTTTTATAAAGCATAAACAAAATCGGTCTTTTCTGGCCGTGAAAATGAGGATGTCACACACACATACACGACCACCCTTGTGGTGGCCGGCAGTGGTATATGGCGGCAGCCACCACCTCACAGTGGTGGTGGTGGTGGCTTTTCTTGTGAACTTCGGCCAAACAACACCAAACATCACTTCACTGAAAGAAACACACATAGCAGAATTACATACAATACACCAAAAAACACACACAGCCACCACCACACGACGGTTGGTGGTGGTAGAACAGTGAACCTTCATGGTGACAACAAGATAACAACCACCATGGCAGGCTACCATGGTGGTTCCCATGATGGTCCTAGCGATATACGGCTAATAATTTCACACACACACGCTGACATGATCTGAAACACACACCCATACACTAGATGACCCACACAACACCGCCATGAACAAATGTGAATCGACAATTTACACAAAATAAAGAAATGCAACACCAACCACCTTCTCGGCGACAAGCAATGGTCGGAGACGACAACAATGAAATGGCAGCGGGCGTGGGTTAAGGCAGCAACAGAAGAAACAAGAAGAGAGTGTGTGCAACCTAAATGCGAACAACAACGGTACCCATGAACCGAGCTTTCCGATCTCCTCGTGACTCTTCGTCTTCACTGGCGACGGAACAAGGTGCTTACTCCGGTGATTCTTCGATGGTGGCGAGGAGATGACGGCTGAGAGGGTGGAGAAGATAAGGTGGTGGAAAAATAGTTATTAGGGTTAGGGTTAGTGAGGGTATCGGTTGCTAGGTTTTTAAATGAGGGTCAAGGGTGGGAGGTGACGAGTCTTAGTCCCTGCAAAAAAGGGTACACGATTAATAATTATCAACGAAAATAGGTATTTTATTTATGAAGTTTTACGATTATACCGCTGCCACGTCACTTCCTTGGAGAACTAAAGCTTTTACAAAACATAAACAAGTTTTGTAGAGCCTGTCTTTGAGGAAACGTTGATCTATAAGCCCTATGACAATTATATATATATATATATATATATATATATATATATATATATATATATATATATATATATATATTTTGTTCTTATCTATTGAAAAAAGACTAGCTCTTATTTTGTTCTCTAGATTTTCCCTTCTAACTACGTCCTTCTTTAATATATGGGCTATAAGCCTTAATGAAAAAAAGCTAGCTCTTATTTTGTTCTTTAGATTTACCCTTCAAACGCTAGTTTTGAGGGTATTTTGGTCATATTAACATTAGTTTTTCCGGTACAAATAGAAATGTTGTGTTTGCCTTAATTTAACAGCACATTTCCTATTTCTCTCTACTTTATTTGCATTCGCAATCTCAAGCCACTTGCAACAAAAATGACTTCATCAAACGAGATGCTCAATTGACTTTGAAGGTTCTTTGTGAAAATTTTGAAAATCCAATGTTTGAGAGAGTTTTGAGCACGTTGAGGATAGATATGACAAGCAATGAGCATAATGTGACAGATGTTCGAGATTATTCACATTACACAAAAACACGACGTTTTTTTAAAAATTAAGACATTGGAATGTAATTATTTTAATTTTTCGTTTCTGTTTCAGTATTTGTGACATAAAGATGTAATAATCTATATGTAATAAGAAAAATGCCGATAATTTCCCATGACATACCCATATGCATGATATGTGCAATCACTTGAAACTTTGAACAAAGACGTCCATATATCACATCGAATGAAGTTCGGACATATCAAAATAACATGTGAATTTAAAGCACTGATTACTTTCTACAATCGAAAAGCTCCCAAAGTGATTTCCATTCACTAGACATTATCACAAATCTAAGCCCTTTCACCTCTAATCCTCCTAGCCAATTGCATATCTTTAGGCATAATTGTAACCCTCTTAGCATGAATCGCACACAAATTAGTATCTTCAAACAAACCCACCAAGTAAGCCTCCGATACCTCTTGAAGTGCAGCAACAGCACTGCTCTGGAACCTCAAATCTGTCTTGAAATCTTGAGCAATTTCTCTAACAAGTCTCTGAAATGGGAGCTTGCGGATCAACAGCTCTGTACTCTTCTGGTACTTACGGATCTCTCTTAGGGCAACAGTCCCTGGCCTGAATCTGTGCGGCTTCTTCACACCTCCAGTCACCGGAGCGGATTTTCGGGCGGCCTTAGTTGCCAGTTGCTTTCTTGGTGCTTTTCCTCCGGTTGATTTGCGAGCAGTTTGCTTTGTTCTCGCCATTTTTAGAGAATTCGAAAGGTAAAATGAGATTTTGTTTTGGGTAAGTAGATTCGATCGAGCGTTGTGGAAAATGGGGTAGAAGATGCTTGTATTTATTAGGGTTTATAGTGACGGAGGTTGCAGTGGATTTGAAACTTTGGGGGAGAATAGTTAGCGCGAAAGATCCTACACCGTTAGATTGTGGGGTGAGAAAAGGACGGCTCAGATTGTATATTAATAGAGAATGCGGATCGCAATCCTTGTGCCTCTTTAGTCATTCATTCGTTTGTTTCACGATTGGAAATAATGGTAAATTTTCTTTTATAATTATTAACCGCCAAAATACATTAAAAAAAAAACCTATCTTCTATAGGTTATTATTCAAAAAAAAAATTATTATATTATATTATTAGATGTAAAACCCGTATATTACACGGGTTGATTAAAAAATTAAAATATTAAAATATTGATAATAAGTATTTTTTTAAATAAAATTTTAAAATAAGAAATGAAAAAACATAATAATTGCAATTTATTATATTTGATACTTTACATATATGTATAAAATTATGTGGTTTTTAATTGTAAAAATAAAAAAAAAATCATAAATTTACATGTGGATATTATTTATTTAAAATTTTTTTTACAAAGTAACAACTGTCAAAATTCATTAGAAATTGACATGTGACAAAAAAAACTTTCATTTATTAAAGATGATATTTATAGATAGAGGTTAATTTGAGATTGTTAATTTTATGAAATACGGAGACGCGATCCTACTTATTTATCTTAGAGATAAAAAAAAAATAGAAATTATATAATGAAAAATAAAAGGGAAAATCCAAAAATTCTTTTTTAAATATTGTTTTTGTTATTTAATTTAAAATGATAATAATAACAATAATAATAATAATAATAATAATAATAATAATAATAATTTACCGTTTTTTTCAAAATATAAGTAAAATTTTCTAATACATTATTACACTATAAATGATTAAATCAAATTTTTTGGAATGTTGATATTCTAATATTCTATTAAAAATGATAGATATGATAAAATATTATAATATTTTAATAGAATTGTTAAATTTATAGCATATGAAAAGTGCCATTAAAAAACTAAATTAGTGGCACAAAAGATAAATGACACTAAAATGTGTGCCACTAAAAGATGTAAGTTTTCTCTAGTTTATAACTATCTTAACTCGAAAATAGTTTGCGTTAACTTTCAAGTGGAACTGTCACAATATGAAAGTAATGGGAAAATGTAAGTACTCAGTTGTCTTTTGAATTGACAAACTGACGTACTGATTACCTTAAATGAAGTTTGTTTTATTAAGGTCATAATGTGATGGATAGTACCCATACTATACACTCTCCTTGCAAGAGATTCTGGGGACCAAACGCGACTTCCGCAAACAATTTGCTAGGTCGTGTAAATTCACATTAAAGTTATATGATCATGTATACCCAATTTACTATTACATTTTGTTTAGAACAATGAGTTAGTGATTATTGATATAGATAGATCTTGTAGTGTTCTCATGGTATAGCTTTAGTATGTTCGTTCTGTTATAGTATCTTAGTATGTTCTTTCTGTTATCATGTATACTGTATAGTATGTCTCTCTGATGTATTGTATCTACCTCCCTGTTTCTCTTTATAGTATGCTCTACTATCTAGTATGAACCGAACCTCTAAACTATACCCCCTTATAGTTTACTAGTGTTTTACTTTACATGTTATTGGAAAGACTCATTTTACTACTAAGTTATGCTTGTACTTTAAAAATGGAGTTTTGTTAAACTATAAAGTAACATAACTTTAAAAAAGTTTTTGAAATGTTTTGATCACTTATAAAATACATAAGCACTCTATTGAAAGATGTTTATAACAAACATTTACACAATTATCATTGTGTTCAACTTGTATTCCCCCCTCAAGAGTATTTAAAACAGTTTAAAAGATTGATTATAGGGGTATACACTCATCTTATGTGGGTGATTCAAACGAATATGTGCGTAAGTATGAGAAGCTCCACTAGTGAAGTCCCGAGACACATACAAGTCCTAAATGACATATATTGGCATGAATATAGTGTTTAGAAGCAACCATATGCAAGGAAACAACTTTAGGGATTAGGAAACACTTGGACCAAGTGTTATAATCACATATGATTCATCTAAGGGAGGTGTACGGCCACAAAACGGAGTTTGCGGCCATGGGTGTACGGCCAGGGAGTGTACGGTCGTACACTCATGGTAATAAGTGCACAAATGTTGGTTTGGATGGTAGGGATGCTCATGGGACTATTGCTCATCAAGTGTTGTAGCTAGAAATGCATTTTAAAGGCCCTTTAGGGGTGTTTTGAGGGGTGTACAACCACACTTGGGTGTACGGCCGTACACTCCTTATGATCCTGAGTTTTGGATGTTTTTAAGGTGTAAATCAAGTGTTCCTAACATGTACTAAACATAAGGAATGAGTACTTACGATTCGGAGGCTCAAGAGGGCTCACAATACCAAGAACAAGTGTGTGTTCTTGGTGAAATGGATGAAGATTTAAAGATCTAGCCAAAAGAGATGTTTTCATGGATGAGATCAAAGGGTGTTACTTGGAGAAGAAAGATAACAACAAATCAAAATGGAAGAAAGGCTTACATTCTTGAACTTAGGAATGAAGGGATATCATACTTAGGGATGGGGTGTACGACATAACATGAGTGTACGGCCGCACACACATATGTACGGCCACACACTCATGTATACGGTCGTACACTCCCTCACATGGAGTGTATGACTTGATTTTTACACGCAGAACTTACACGACTCGATCGTATACTCAATGCTTGAATGTACCGAGCTTTGAACCCTTAAACAGAGTCTAAACAAGGCTAAATGATAGCAGAAGTGAGGCTGATACAATGATGGATTGAATGGCTGAACTTACAAAGAAATTTTTTTCGGGTTGTCACAGTAGGTCATCAGGAGTCAGATGTTTTGGGCGGGGAATATGTTTGGGCTTAGGGTAAGGCCCATTAGAGGGATTGGGACCAATTGATCAAATCAGGCCAATAGTGGACCACTACTGGGCTTGGAAAACCTACCTAGTGTTGGGTTTTGGGCCTTAGTTTTGGATCATACTGGCCAGGGGTAGAATGATCATTTACCCCCCCCCCCCCCCAAGCATGGATTAAGGATCATGGTATGGGACCCAATTTCTAATTGGGTATATTGATCGATATTAATGGTTCAGGAAGTGGACATGGCAACAACTAAGGATTTCTTCAGGAAGCTTCTGTATTCGAGGTGAGTCTTCTCAACATACCAATGGGTCTAAGGCACCAAGGTCGACCAATTTTATGATAGTTGGTATACTTGTTGTGTAGAGGTGTGTGGCATTGTTATGCATTGATATGTGGTAGAGATAGCTTTTACAACTAGTGGTAGAGATAGCCTTCAGGGATAATGGTAGAGATAGCCTTCAGGGCTAGTGGTAGAGATAACCTTCATGATTAATGGTAGAGATAACTTTTATGGCTAAGGGTAGAGATAACTTTTATGGCTAAGGGTAGAGATAACCTTTGTGGCTAGTGGTAGAGGTAGCTTGTTTTGTTTTTTTGATGTATTCTTTTATTTTTTATTAATAAAGTTTGCTGAGCTTTGGCTCTTTCAAAAAAAAAAAAAAAACTTTATAGCTAATTGATATGTGTTATGTGGTAGATGTAGTTTTTATAGATGTGAATTGTGTGTGAGATATGCTATGGGGAACCCACTAAGCTTCGTGCTTACATGTTTGTTTATGGTTTCAGGTACTTCAGATCCCAAGGGCAAGAGCAAGACGTGATGATGTGGCGAGCAAGACGTGATGACGTGGCGTGCACTCTCTCACAAGCGTTTTATGGGACACTCTGATGTTGGAAATAAAAGTTGTATTTGATTTATGTTTTGAAAACAATTATAACTGGGTTTTTTAATGTATGAGAATATGTTTGCTTATTCTAAAATGAAAAATTTATTTTGAAAATTGGGTCATTACACCCTATAAGGTCTCATAATTAATGTAATGATATTTGTCAACTTATTAATTTTACATTTCAAATTTCAAAATTTAAATTCCTTACTCTAATTACATTAAATTTATAATATTAGAATAAAAATTAAAATAAAATTAATACAAAATATGAGATCATATATTTATTTAAATCGACGATTATAATTTTATGTAACTATAATTTATTAATAAGTTTATAACCATGATTTTCACGAATTATAAACTAGAAATATATATCACGAATTATAAACTAGAAATATATATTTAACTATCGCTAATACTATTAACTTAGATAAACTGGCTCATTGTTACACTGGACTAGCAGGTGAAAAGACTCCTTCACCTTGATGATAAACACTTATTGCTGGACTCATCGGTGGATCGCCAATTATATTCTCTTCTATATAATCATTGCTATCGTTGACTGTTTCTGTTTCAGAGGGCATTAGATCTTTCTTCTTATCAAAGTTTTGTATGATTGCAGTCAACTTATGGTGCATTGAATCATGTGAGACTAGTATCTCCTTGTTTTCATATAAGAACATAAACAGGAAGATGACTAGCGCACATGTTGAAGACAATCCAGCAACAAAAAATAGACCTTTAAAGCTTTCTAGTGTCAGCTTATCAAAGGGTTCAACGTCCTCATTTTTCCCTGGGCAATCCGCTTCATCACTAATCCATTTGTCTGAAATGTTTCTCATCTGCTCCTCTATCACTTTCAAAATTGCTCTTGAGAACTCCGCTACTAGCGGTGATCCTTTCGGAAACGCCTGCTCATAAGAACGCATTACCCAACCAATTAGCATCATTGAGGTAATGACATGTCATATCAAATTAATCAAAGAAATATCGCTACTTACAAAGCCGAAGCCTGCAGTCTTGTAGGTTGGACCCACCATGACATACTTGTTACAGTTTTTGGCCTGCAACATCTTGAGATAAGGAACCTCGTCAACAATGG